GTTCTTTTGGAAGTCCAGCTATACTTTTGGCTGTCACTACATCCCCTGGCAATGAGTTCCACAGGTTAGTTGTGCGTTGTTCCTCTTGTTTGTATTAAACCTTGTGTCTGCTCATTGTGTGAGGGGGTAAAATAACAACATTTCCCTAGACACCAGTCATGATTTTCTAGACTTTATCAGGTCCCCCTTAGTCGTGTCTTTACTGAGCTGAACAGCGCTAATCTTTGTCGTCTCTCCTCGGCTGGAAGCCGTTCCACACCCTTGATCACCTTTGCTGCCCTTCTCTGAACCTTTCCCAGTTGCACCATTTCCTTGTTGAGATGACTGGAACTGGACCCACTATTCAAGTGTGGGGACCCCCGGGATTGCTGTAGTGGTGTTCTGATATTTCTAGAGAGACAAGGGGGCTGAGGTAATATCTGTTAGACCCACTGCTGCTGGGGTGAGAGGAAGGCCGAGCTCTGAGGACCTTTCCCAGCCCTGAAGAAGAGCTTTGTGGAGCTGGCAGCTTGTCTCTTTCGCCAGCAGAAGTGGGTGCAAGAAAAGCTATCACCTGGCCCACGCTGCCGCTCTAACCTCCTGGGAGCAGCCTGGCGGCGGTAGGTCCCCACCTACCTTAGCCACGGGAGCGCTGCTGCACGGGGAGTGGATGTTTCCAGAGAACTGTCCGAAGGGCCGCCAGGACCTCCTGCGGGGGTGGAAGTAGCTAATTTAGACCCCACCAGTGTATACGTCGACTTTCCCGATGTGTATTACTTGGCACTCATCAGCATTAACTGAGCAAGATCAAGGATGTGGATAGGGGAGGCAAAGCCCATGGGAGTGGGGTGGGGGACTGCCTACTGCACCCAGAGTTTTGGGGGACCCTGGGCAGTGGGGGGGCTGGTCCTGTGGGAGGCTGGATGCTGGCAGGAGTTGCAGGCCAGCGCCCCCTGCTGCCCGGAGCGGATTGGGCCCCCGTGGAGCTGCAGGGGTGACTGCCAGCTGGTTCTCCCTGCAGCCAAAGCCGGGAACACCAAGAAGGTGGAGGAGGAGGAGGAGGAGATAGACATCGACCTGAACGCGCCCGAGACTGAGAAGGCAGCGCTTGCCATCCAGGGCAAGTTCCGTCGCTTCCAGAAACGGAAAAAGGACCCCAGCCCCTGAGCAACTCTGCCACCCTGTCCCCACCGTCCCCCATCCCCCCTCTGCCAGCACAGCCCGGCTCGCCCCGTGTTTGCTCGCTCCTGCCCTGCCCAGCCCAGCTTGGGCTGTTGGTATTTTGCACGTTCTATGTACCTGGTTTCGGGGGACGAGGGGCTCCCCAGACCCAGCTGCACCCACATGCCGAGCTCCTGCCTGGGAAAGCGGGGCGTCCTCTTCTTATAGCCATGATGTTGGCACGGCAGGCTCCTGGTGCCATCCTCACAAAGCCATGAAGGGGCCACGGGCCCCAGGCTGGACAGTGCCTCCTGGGGGCCTCGGGCCAGGGTAGGGGCAGCCCTGGGAGAGTCCTGGGCTGGAATTCAGAGCCAGTCGGCCATAACTGCCCATTAGCCCTGGCTAAGCCAACTCCTGTCAGGAGGGGTTCTGCTCTTGAGCACCCCCCATCCTGAGTGGACACCCCTGAGCCACCCCACCCTGACCTAAGGGGGGGCTGCCCCTTAGCTCCCCTACACCCCCATCCTGAGCAGCTTCCCATCAACCCCGACCCATGGGGCCACCCACTCCCACCAGGGACCCTGACTGGGACAGCCAGAGACCCAGGACCAGATGCGGGGTGGGGGTACAGAGCCAAGGAGAGGGTCGGGAAGGGGCCCAGAGCCATGCAGGGGGAGGGGAAGGGCCATAAAGCCAGATGGGGGGGATCAGAGCCGAGTAGACCCAGGACCACGAGGGGCAGGCAGGGCTAGTGGGTGGAGGACAGGGCCTATGGCCAGGCCAGGAGGGGGAAGGGCCCTAGGCGGGGTGTGTGTGCTGCAGGATGCCCCCAGTCCCGTGGGACCAGGCCTGAATTGCAGATAAACAGGGCAGGCCCCACCAAATTTCCAGGCTCTCCCAGGGCCAGGCAGGGGAGGGGGTCTGGGGCCAGGAGAGGGGCAAGGTCACCTTTCCCTCCAGGATTTTCTTAGACAACACGGGGGCCGGAGGCAGCTGGTGACCCCTCCCCTGGGCTGGTGTTGCCTGGAGCCGTGGACAGAGGTGACCGTGGGGTGGGGGGGAATGTCCAGGCCCTGCTGGGGAGCAGGAGCCAGGCTTTGATCTGCTCCGGCCGGGTGCGGAGCTCCTGCTCTGAGCCCCACGTAGCGAGCACACGGTGTGTCCGCACCGGCTCCCTGGAGAACCCTCCCCACTGCGAACAAGGGGGACTCCCCCCAAGTGGAAACACCCTCCCCCATTGGGGGACAGTGGGGATCCCTTCCCACACAGAGAACAATGGGGACTACCCCCCAAACTAGGAACAGTGGAGACCCATGTCCCCCATTGAGAACAATGGGGGGGCTCCCCCCCGTGACTGGGAACAATGGAGATCCCCATCCCCCCACTGTGAACGATGGAGACCCCCTGTCCCCCAATTAGAACAATGGGGATACCCCCCTACTGGGAACAATGGGGACTCCCTTCCCCTCCCCCACTGGGAACAATGGGGATTCCCCCCCCCCCAACTGGGAACAGTGGAGACCCCTGTCCCCCATTGAGAACAATGGGGCCTCCCGTCCCCTCCCCCACTGGGAACAATGGAGACTCTTGAGCGCAATGAGCGTGGCTGGGTGCCAAGGTGTGGGGAGGGGGAGGGCACTGGGGTGCTAGGGATTGGGGAGCAGGGCACAGCTGTGAGCAGGAGGAGGTAGCAGAAGGCAGCCGGAGTGAGGGGGTTGGTGGGTCGGAGATGAGGGCTGGACAGGGAGAAAGGAACAAGTGAGCCAGAGCCGGAGGGGGTGGCATTCCCCAGTGGGGCTAGCAGAGGGGAGCTCCAGGCACTGGGAGCCCATGGCACTGCACCCCGTCCCTCCCAATTAAGAGAGGCACTGAGTCCCTCCCAGCTTAGGCAGGAGCCCTAGGGGCTCCCCTCCCCCCCCTTCCAGGGCCCCAGTCCATGCAGCGTCTCAGCCGCCTGTCCCCCTCCACCCGTGCCCCTCTCAAGCGTTGGGCTGACACCGTCCCACCGCTGTGCCTCCTGCTGCTGGCACAGCCCCCCAGCACTGTAAGGCCTCGGCGTTCCCCAGCATTGGATTCAACCCGCCTCCACCCCCAGCCCACCGGGAGCTGCAGCCTGAGCACCAGGGAGCGCCGTGCAGCTGTGCGTGATTGGAGGGGCCAGGCCGCACCGTCCCCTGGCCGTAGCACTGGGGGGGACGATGTGGCCCGCAGGGCAGACACAGCTGCTGCGAGGACTGGCTCTTTTAGCATGTTTACGTAATAAAACGTCTGGGAACAGTGGCCGGCCTGGCGCGTGGTTCGTGTTGGTGCTGGGGCCGGCTCAGAGAGGCCGGGCAGTGGCAGGGTGGGTCGCTCGGGCTGGCTGGGTTGTCATGGCCACGGCCATGCTGGGACCCCAGCAAGGGGCCCAGTCGCTGCTGGTCCAGGCTGAGGCCATGGGAAGTAAAACCCACAGATGGAGCCGGGCTCTGGATGGGACCCAGCCACTGAGGGGACAGCAACACCACGGCGGGTCTCAGAGCCCAGCCTGGGGCTCGTATTAGGCCACCAACAATAGCATAGATGCTCCCGCTCCATCTGGAGCCCACCCCTCGCCGTGGGGCGCAGAGCCTGAGTGCCACCTCGCCTGGGCACAGCTACCCTGCCAGCTTTAGTGCTCTAGCGTGAGCCCAGCTGCAGAGCCAAGCGCTCAGAGGCGCCGCTGCCGGGTGGATTTTGTTGCAATGTAGACGTCCCGCTAGTGACCAAGGGCACCGCGTCCCCAGAACCACCCAGCTTTGAGCCACACAGAACCCCTCGGTGCTACCTGTAGAGCGGTGCTCTGTTGCCACGGCCCGGTGCCACGCTCCCAGCTCACCCCTCTGCATTGGTTCCTGGGACACAGTCCATCTGTGTCCCCTGCCAAGGGGAAGAGATGCAGGCCCATCGCCAGGGCCCTTCGCCCAGCTGGACAGGCAGCCCCGGGACGTTGTGCATGCTGACAGTTTCTCTGGCCTGTGGGCATAAGAGCCCCACAGTCCCTTAGCACTGGGGTAGGTGGCTGGGCCTGGAGAAGCAGGAGCGGCATGGGGCTCATCGTCCCTTGGGCCGTCCCTGGGGTGTAGCAGCTAGTGCGCGCCATGCTGGGACGAGCAGCCATGCTGTTATGACAGGGGCTGTCTCCACGCTAGGACTGATGTGCCTTGTAGCGCAAGCATGACACCCACAAGCCTGTGCGGGGGAGCCAGGCGCACCTGTGATGGGCAATGGTTTGAACCAGCTGTGCTGTGAGTGCTGTGTTACCCCAGTGCACCAAAGAGGAAACTGAGGCACAGACTGGGCTGGTCACAGAGGCTGCCCTGGGCCATGCAACTCCTGGCCCGTGCTCCTGCCCCTCACAGGATTAACATCCAAGCTCCTACTTCCTTATGCCTCCAAATGTGCTGCGGGAGCTGCCTGCCTAACATGGTGGGTTCCTGGGTTCCAGGCCTGACTCTACGATTGACTCGCTGGGTGACACTGGGCACGTCATGATCCAGCCTGACTGCGGTTTGCCCCTGTGTTACACGTGCCCCCATTTATAAGCCATTTTCAAAGCCTCAGTGGTAGTGCCAGGCCCTATGTTCTACTTTCTCCCAGCGCCTGGCATAGCCGCCGGACGCTTCCTCCCGTCGTGTCCCCCACACCCCACCCCAGATGGTGGCCTGGGTGAACATTTCAGGTGCTTTCTGTCAGTTTGCCCACTGTTGCATGCAGTCAGTGAAGCCCCCATGGCCCCAAAGCCATGTCTGTGTGGAACACACCACGCTCCTGAGCTACAGGTGAGGTGGAGGAGGAGCTGCTTCTGTGGCAGAATGAAAGCGAAGGCTGGGTTGGGTGCTCAGCGGTGTCATAGGCCCTATACTGTTAACACCTGGGGGAGAGTCTCCTTTAGTTCCTGTGGTGCAACAAGAGAATGGAAAGTCTAGCCCTGTGCTCTGCCAGTGGCTCCTTGTGCAGCTGTAGCCGCCCAGGGGGCCAGATTTGTCCTACATGCTTGCTGAGCTGCACAGCTAGCTTCAGTACAGGCCATGAGGTGGCAGCTCGTGCCTGGAGGCTGGGTCCTTTGCTGCCCAGCTCCTGTGTCACTGGGGATGGCTCTGCTCCTGCAGCCTGCCCCTCTGCCCAGCTGGTGTAAGGCTCATGGGGACAGGGCGCGCCTGGCCAATGGTGCCAATTGCGGTGCATTGGCTGGAGCAGATTGGGTGGAGAGACAGGGGAAATCCCCTGAGAAACGCCCGAGTCCGGGCTCCTCCAGGGGCGGAGGGTATGGCTTGGGAAAACAGCTCTGCATGGGCCCAGCCCTGCCCCTGGTTACCCACAACCAGCTACCGTCAGCAAACAGCACCTGCCCTGTCGCCACGGTGCCACGTCCTGCTTAATGTCGTGTTTGGTCAACGCTCGGCCTGCTTGCCTAGCCCAGACCTGGCCAGAGCGTGTCTGAGCCAAACCCTTCCCAAGGCGAGAGCCAGTGCCCTGCATTGCACGTGTCTCCCCGGGCACATGCCACACCTCCCCCCTCCTTACACCCCCACCACCATGTATTTCACCGTGCACATGCCCACCTTGACATGCACACACCTCCTACCTGGAGCACATGTGTGCATATACACATGCCTGGACACCCCTGCAATGACCCTCCCATCCCTGTACATGTACACTTATCTCCTACCACACAGTGCACCCACACATGGGCATGCACACACCTCCCCCCAGCCACATGCTTCTGTGCACACACCCCAACACACACGCACCACAGGATTGCTGTAAGATCCAACCCAGCCCCGGCTCGAGCGGCCCATACCAGACTCATTCTGCACAGGGGGAGGGGTGCTCCACTTAGCACCAGTGTGTCATGTCCCCCAGCCACCAGCCCAACGAGTAGATGGGACACCTGTGTGAACCGATAAGGAGTGAATGTCCAGCCCGCGGCTGGCAGGGTGTTAGGGGGTGGGGCAGCCCAAGCCATGCTGGCTGCAGTGGAACCATAATTAGGCTCCTGGTTCATGCTCTGTCCTGCTGCCCTGGCACAGCGGCAGCCCCCGAGCACAACCCAACCCTCCCATGGTGCCCATGGCTGTAGGTGCTGGAAGCCAGGGTGCTGGGGGCAGGGGAGCTGCAACACCTCCTGGCTTGAAGTGGCTTCCATCATAGCCAAGGTTTATGGTTTGGTTCAGTGGCTCTCAGCCCCCCTGCACGAGGCTCTAGTCAGGAAGGGGTGGGGTTCTGGGGAGATGGGCTCGGCTCCCCCCAGTAACTAGCACCTGCCCCTGCAGTGCTTTGGCCGGGGCTGCTACCCCGCAGCAGGGCCTGGCCTCAGGCCCACGGGGATTTCGCAGGAGCCTTTCTCTGAGGATCTGCTCCATAAACACCCCCTCCCCGTAGCTGACAGCTATACAGCCTCCGCCAGCCCCGCCCTTCTGGCAGCCAAGGGGCGGAGCTGGGCACACCTGCCCCTGAACCCCAGCAATGCTGCCCTGCAGGGATGACATGAAGCAGGCACCCCCACAAACTACTTCCCATAACCCCATCTGCACCCCACCGGGCACGTACGTTGCTGACATTCTCTATCCCCCCTCTAAAGTATGCACAGCAAAACCCTGCTCCCCGACCGAATTATTTCAGCATGGGCCCTGCAGGGCTGCCGGCGTGGGAGCCCGAAGCAAACCCCACTCAGTGCCCTGCCAGCGCTGGCTTTCCTTCCCCGCCTCACCTCTGGCAGCCCTTTAGCCCCGGCCAAGTGACTGTCGCCAGGGGGTGCTCAGACCCTGAGACAGCTACAAGGCCCAGCAACGCTCCGGCTCCCGTAGCCCAGCCAGGTGGTTTTAGTCTCTTTACGCTTTCCCCCAGCAATCTGTCCAGCCCAGGATGCAGCGGGCGGCTCCCTGCCCAGCGCTCGCCAGCGTGTCCCTTTGTGATAGCCAAGCACAGGATACCAGCTGAACTGTTACGAATATTGCAGACACAGGCAGCCCTGGCAGCCTTTTCGGGGCTTCTGTGTCACACGGCCAACTCCTGGCTGCGTTGCCTGCTGCTCTCCCCTCTGCCTCAGCAGTTCCTGGTACCCGTATTTATTTCCCTGTCCGCCTGAACCTGGGTGGTGTAGATAGCTCGATGGAGGATCTGGGCAACAGGAGCCAAGGCTCTGGGTGCCCCACTAAGAAAACGACAGGCTAGGAGCTCGGACGCTAACTGTTAAGGGGAAAAACAGAAGAGGCAGCAAGGGGATTTTGAGTCAGTGTAGGAGGCAATCACGTCATTTCTGATCTCCCTTGGCTCTGTGGCTGCTGGTAGCCCCGCCCCAGATGGAGAGGTGAGGACATCCTGGACCAGGAGAGGTGGGCTGGACGTGCCTGCCTGGCCCAGCAGCAGCTGGACAGATTTGGCCCTAGGCTGTAACTAGGGCTCCTGCACGACAGTAATACAAATAATCAATTCAGCACTGGAAACACCTGAGACAAATAGCCTGAGCCCCAACTCTTCCCCTCCGCACCTCATGGCCCACCAGGGCATCCTGGCCTGCAGTGCCACGTGCCGTGTCACACTGGAGTCCAGCTACAACACCCAGCTTGGCTTAAACCAACCAAACGCTCAAGGAGGAAGGCACCGTTTTGACAAAGGGAGGCTGCAGAACCGGGCTGGGAGCAGCAAAACCAACGGGAGGAGGTGCTTTCCCAGACACATTTAAACACAGCTCGCTCGTCGGTGAGTTCCTAGTTCAATAACAGACGCGATATCAACCAGGGAGGCCCCTGCATTTCCAGGCATTCAAATGGCAGCATGTTACAGCCAACAGCCATGTGGCCAGGGCCCTCCCTGGGATGTGGGAGAGCCACATTCAAGTCCCTGCTTGGAATCAGACATATCCCAGCTGGGTGCTTCAACATGGGGCTATGCCCTGGAACTGTCCCACCATGCGTATGTTATGTATAGAGACGTTCCCACAAAAAGCTTCTGCCTCAGTCACTTGGCATTAAACAACCCCCCCCCCCCCAAAAAAATCCCATTTTTGGACAATTCCCAACCAGTTGTGCCACAGAGCTACCGTGTGACCATGGCCATTTCACTTGACCCCTCTTGGCAGCTGCATCCTCTCCCACCTCTGATCTTGTCTCTGAGGCAGGGGCTGGTTTCTTACTAAGTTTGTGCAAGGCCTGACAATGGCTGGGGCCTCTGGCTGCAACTCTACCCCAAGTAACTCATACTAGGTTGGGGCTGTTTGCCAGCCCAGCCTGGGAGCTCTCAGCACACCAGCAGTCCCCCGCTGCATGTCTTGACATGGAGCACGACCCCTCCTGCAACCCTACAGGGGTCAGCCCCCCCATTGCAATTGAAACCCGGCAGAACAGATGGCAATGTCTGCTCAACCACCAGCACTGGCAGGGGTTTTGCAATGTGAGCAGCAGGGCATAGGCCCTGCAGGAACCAGGAGCCCCCCCCACAAGGGTCAATTCACACATGCAGCCACTGGTTGGGGGAGCCCAGCTGGGGACCTTGTGCTGACTGGAGCAGGTTCTCAGCAGCTTGGGAAGACCAGTGCTCTGCCGGGCTCCCCAAACCCAAGGTACCTGAATCCAGCAGCCTCATAAAAGGCTGGCCCTGGTGTGCCGAGCAGGGCGGGGGACTCGCAAATACAACAATTAGCTTACAAACATTTTTAATAACAAATAAAATCAGTTGTGTGTCTCTTGCTCCACCTGACCCCTTAAGGCAGAGGGGCTGGGCAGGGGCCTTTCCACTCTTGGGCCCAAGTTCTGCCATACAGGGGGACATGAAAAAACAAGTCCCTGGTCTGAGCCCAGTTCCTGGAGGTGATACCCTGGGCCAAGGAGCGAAGGGGGAGAGGGAAAGAGCTGCCCTCCACCCCAGCAGAGGGGCCCCTGCCTTAGGTCTGCTGCCAACCCTGCCCCAACCACTGATGCACAAAGGACACGCAGCCCCCAGCCAGCCAGCCTCAGGGCTGCTTTTTATGCAGTGGAGTAGCTGAGGCAGCAGCATTTCATGTGAGAAGAGGCCCTGCCCTGCCCCCAGCGACACAGGGGAGTCCAACCTGAGGATGGCAATGGGTGCCAGGGCAGAATGGCACATAGAAGGCCAGGCCAAAGAAGAGATGTCAGGGTGCAAGATCTCCCAGGATGGTCAGACCGCTCAGTCCAAACAGCCCAACACAGCTGCCTGCTCTGCAATGGGGTGGGAGTGCAGGGACAGAGCAAGGGGCTATTTGCATTGAGCTCCCCCGCACAGGGGCTGGGGGGATGGTTGGGCACCGTAGTGCCAGGCCAGACATCATGGCTTGCTCTGAGCCTCATCCATGGCTGCTCACGCCATGCCCTCCCCCCGGTGGCTGAGCATATGGAGCTGCAGCTTGTGGAGATCGCTGAAGGTGCTGTGGCACTGGTGGCAGGAGGGATAGTGCCTGCGCAGCCGCATGTGCTGCTTCAGCGACCTCTGGTACACAAAGCGCTTGGCACAGACCACACAGATGTAGGGGCCCAGGGGGGGCCGGCCTCGCCTTTGCTTCTTGGGGGGCCGCCCTTGCTTCTTCGGGGACTGGCCTTGTGCTTGCTTCTTGGGGGGCCGCCCTCCCCTCTTCCCCTGTGGGACAGGCTCCAATTCCTCGTCCTCTTCGGCTCCGCTCTCCCCTGCCCAGTCCTCCCCAGAGCTTTCCCCGAGGTCGCTGCCCTCCCCTGCTCCCTCCTCAGTATATTTCCCTTGGGGCTGGGACTGCCGGAAGTTATAGGGTTTGTGCCACGCTCCCTGCTCAGCCCAGAGCTCCTCTGAGGGGGCTGGCAGCTGTGGAGGGGCTGAGGGGGGTGGTGGGGCTGGCAGCGGCAGCAGGGGCCGTGGGGGAGCTAGCAGTGGTGGGCCTGAGGGAGGTGAGGGTTGCAGGGCGGCTGATGGTGGTGGGGAGTGCAGGGGCTGTGGGGAGTGCAGGGGGGCTGATGGTGGCAGGGGGTGCAGGGGTTGGGATGGGGCTGGCACTGGTGGAGTGTGTGGCCCGTTGCCCTTCTCTGCTGACATCCTGCTGGTGAGATCACCGAGCTGCCCTCCTGCTGGCTGCTGAGCTTTGGCTGCAGAGAGAAGAGGAGACAGGTCAGGGAGGTGTGTGTGTGTGCAGGGGGAAGGAGATGACCCTTCATGGTCCAAATAAGAGCCCCTCTGAATAGGCAGTGAGGGCCCAGCTCCCAAGGAGGGAGCATGCTCTGCCAGGGGAGAGAAGTTAGACGAGGATTCAGCCCCCGAACTCAATGGAAAGGGGTTCCCAATGGGGGTGAAGGCCAAATTCTGATGTCCCATCAATCTGTGCACCCCCATGACTCCAGCAGGGAGTTCTGGGAGTGACCCCCAACTTTTCCTCCTTAAAAGGCCCCCTTCACTGCCCTCCCTTCAACTCTAGGCAAGGAGACCCATGGTAGAGCCTCCCTTGCTCAGAAAGGCATGTGTGCTTGGGGCAATCCTCCGTATTTCCAGCGCTTTCCCTGGGCCCAGGACCCCAGGTGACATGAACCCAGCCCCCCCAGGCAGGGAGGCAATCGGCTCATTTTGTGGTTGGCACATCCCCCCTTTCCATGCTCGGCACAGGGCACGGCCCAGTCCTAGCCAGGAAGGCAGGGTGGCCATCTTGTCCCTGGCAGCCATCTTGTCGGCACAAGCCACACTGAGGTTTTGTAACGAATGGGGCCGCATGGGAATTGCTCTGGGGCCCAGCTACTGCAGGGAGGCCGACAGCAGAGGCTGAGAAGCAGGAGCCAACCTGCCCAATAGCTAAGCATTGTGCCCTGGTGTCAGTATACGGTACCTGGGGCTGGGCGCAGCTCTGGCATCCTCCTGGGTACTGGTCCTTGCAGAGTACACGCGTTGGTACTCCCGGCTCCCGTGCCCGTGTCCCTTGGGGGCACAACCATCTGGGGTGGGATCTGAAGGATGATCTTGGTGCCCGGGGGCAAGGTTGCTGGGTTCAGTAGGATCAGGCCGTTACTTATCACTCCCGTGACTGGGTCTGAGGGAGGGATGGTCAAAGGGACTGAGACAGAGGCCAGTGAGGCCGCGGTCATCGATGTGGTTGAGCTGTGGGGCCTCACTGCTGCTCGGGCTGGGGCCCCAGGCACTAGTGGGGCCGGAGCTGCGGGCCCGGCTGGGGTGGAGCCTGGGGGCCCGGCTGGTAGTGGGACTGGGGCGGAGCCTGGGGGCCCAGCTGGGGCAGAGCCTGAGGGCCCGTCTGCTAATGGGGCTGGGGGCCTGGCCGGGGTGGAGCCTGCTGCCGGCACAGAGTCAGGGACTCTAACCACGAGTGACGCTGTCCCTGGAGTCCTGGCATTGTTGTGTCCCGGCCGGGAGGCACGGGCCTGGGCCTGGGCCCGGCAGAAGTGCCCTCCCATGTACTGCACCCCACAGCGCGTGCAGGTCTGCGCCCCCTTGTGCAGGCTCTTGTGGAAGAGCAGCTTGAACTCGAGGGTGAAGACGGCGCCGCATTCGTCGCACACAAAGGCCTTGTGGCGGCGCTGGTGCAGGCGCAGCAGCATGGGGCTGGCGAAGCTCTTGTCGCAGTCCTCGCAGCGCAGCAAGGGCTTGGGGGCCGAGGCCTGGAGCTGCCCCACGTGGTTGCGGATGTGCGCCAGCAGCTCTGCCTGCGACACAAAGCTGCGCTTGCAGTCCATGCAGGGGAAGGGCCGGATGCCCTCGTGGCGCCGCAGGTGCTCCTGCAGATCGGGGGCCGAGGCGAAGACCTTGGGGCACTTGGAGCAGCTGAAGGGGCGTTCCCGGCCCCCGCTGTGCACGCGCTGGTGCTTGGTAAGGTTGGAGGAGTCGGTGAAGGACTTGCCACAGGCGTGGCACGAGTACAGGGCCTCCCGCGTGTGGATCCGCAGGTGCTTCCGCATGTTGCTGCTGTTGGCGAACTTCTGGCCGCAGGTGGGGCACGGGTAGACACGTGGAGCTGTCCCTCCCTGGGGACCCCGCCTCCTCTGCCGCTGGGGAGAGGGCTCAGCTTCTTCCTCCTCCTCCTCCTCCTCTGCTGAGCTCTCCTCCGTGGAGCCACCAGGGGAGTCTCCCTCCTCCTCCTCTGCTGAACGCTCCTCCGCAGGGCCCCTGGGTCTCAGGGAATAGCCCCCCTGGCTGTCCGGGGCAGCCTCCGAGGACTGGGCAGGGGAGGAGCGTGAGGAAGGTGGCACTGCTGGGCTGCCGGCCTGGCCCTCTTCATCATCTGCAGAGAGAGGCACATGGTGAAATGCCCATCCTGGTGGGGCTGCATTTGGCGGAGCAGCTTAGCTGGCGCCTCAGCCTCCCCCACCCCTTACGCTCTTGGCCCAGTTCAGCCATTCACCCAATTGCTCTTCAGTCCCACACCACTAGCCCACGGCTGCCCTCCGCACCCTGCTCTCAGTGCCTCGGAGAGGGGAGATCAGAATGCAGCCAAGCCCAGAGCTGGTCACTGGTGGATGAGTTAAACTAGGGTTACCATACGTCCTCTTTTTCCTGGACATGTCCGGCTTTTCGGCACTCAAACCCCCGTCCGGGGGGAA